ATAATTTGTAATGCCGTTAAACGTATCTGTGTAGAAATATATTTATATATGTAACATACTATATTCTAATTAAACAAATGGTAGTTTCATTTTCACATAATTAACACAAATTGAATCTATAATTTATAGTACATAAATAATAAGGGTTAATGTTTGTATTTTCTACTGAAGTACCGTAATAGTCAAAGTAAAAACAAAACCATTTCAATGAATTTAGGAATATATACATTGTAACATTTGTGATGGATAACAGAATTGAAGCTTTAAAACAAATAAAATTCAATACTTGTATTATTAATTCTGTTCTTATATTGTTAAATAATGAGTAAAGTATTGCATAAAACAGAATTAAAATATAGTAATATAGAAAAAAAATTACATAAAAGTGCCAAAGAAACCAAGAGATATAATTGTTAAAGTAATGTACATATCTATGGAAATAATTAAATATTTGATGTATTCTTTGATAATTTATTTATACTCTATTAATTCTATTAGCAGCTTCATTAAAACAATTGTAATACTTTTTCAATACATGTATCTGTTATTAGCATACAAGTTTGATGCCTTAATATTTATAGAACTGAAATATACTTTATTGTAGTCAATTCTTTAAAAATAAATGATTATGTTCTATGAATTGTGTCCTTTAATAACTATATATAAAATAATACATTTAAACAATAATTATGTCATATTAATTTTACTTTATAGGTGAAAACAATTCTAATGAAAAGAGATACAACATTGTCAAGTACATTTAAGAATCTACAGTGGTGCAAGAAGACTAAGGCAATTGAGGTAGCATTCACTGATATTTAGATTCGCGCTGTATATAGAAAAACTTTAATTTTGAAAACTAAAGTTTAAAAATGATTTCCATTTATTCTTAACCAGTATTCCATTACATCATTAATCATTAATCATTAAATTAACCACAAAAGTTGGTTTTAGAGTGCAGGAAAAATAAAAAGAAAACTGAAGTATTACATATGTAATGGTATGCGTATAAGCACCATTTAAAAATCTACATTGTCCCACATTATAATAAAACGACATATATAAAATACTTTGCGCTTACTTTTAAAACATAAAATATAAAAAAAAATTAAAGATTCTTTCTTATAAAACTTACAAAATAAATTAATATTTATAGGATGCTCCTAGTTGACTAGTACGTTATAAATCTACGTTGTTCAAGTTAGCTGCAGATCCAGTTGGCAAATCCGGCGGTACAAACTTACCAATGGGTTGTATCGCTTGCCTTTGTTCAGCCAATTTACGCATTTCTTGTCTAAGTTTACTTAGAATTGCATGATTTGGTTGATTGACCGCAGCTTTACCTTGTAACAACGTGATTTCTTGTTCTAGTTGTTTCTTTTCTTTAAAAGATTTTACACTTCGAGATCCATACAGTCTTAGTAAAGAACCCCAAGATTGAATATGAGGATGCATAAGTTGCAGAATTGCTTGCGCTGCTCGTTGTTTACCATCTTTTTTATTACGACATACCTAAAATTACATTAAGTAAACTGTGAAATTATATATTGGAAAATTGTTTAGTAGATTATTTGTTGTTGTTGTTTTAGCAAGAATATGTTAAAAAAGAGCAATAATGAAAATTAAAAGGAGATTCTTGAAATTAATACATTATAGCTTTACTTACAACAGTAGCTTCATGTTTCCCAACACGCATTGTGAATTCATTACGTTGATGTTTTAATGTGTTTACAGAATAGTTAATGTGCATATCACCCAGACCATAATTTCGTTGAAGGCAAGTAATTAAAATAGCATGCGGCGATGGTTCAGTTGTTTTTGCACAAAATTCTGCGACTCTCGGATCAGTAATCGATATTTCATCGAAGAAAGATAAATCAGCATCAGAATTTGCTCTGGATGCTTTAATCATTCGACTGTTATTACCAGAAGCTGTATCTCCACCATTATCACCAGAAATTTTATCTCTCATTTGAGGAATTAAAATTTCAAGGGTTTTTCGAGCAGCATTAGCTTTTGCTTGTTTTTTGCTACTACCAAAACCACTTCCATACTCCATATCATTAATACAAACAACAGCAGAGTATGGTGTTGCAGCATTTTCTGGAATTGGTTGTTTAGTTTGAATAAATCCTTGTTCTTATGTTCAAAATCTTAAATGTTTTTAAAACATAACAATTACTTTTTATTCAACTTACCTAATTCTTTAAATTTATAGGTTGGTTGTTTTTTAAGTGCATGCTGTACATATTCATGAAGTATGCAAACATAACTTTTGCCTGAGGGATTCATTATCCAATGTTTTGGCGGTCTTTGTCCACTGCTATCATCTCCAGTATTACTACCACTACTTCCTGCTAGACCAGAACTACTAACTGGAAATGTTATTAATTTTGTTCCATCAGGTAAAGTAGGTCGTTCAAGCTGCTTACGATGTTTTTTATTTTTTGTAAATTTTCTTCTTGCTGACCATGATCTATTTAATAATTAAGTATTTTATTAAAGTATATTAATTACTCTTACTATATTATAAGAATATTTATATTACTTCAGTATTATTTAACATAAACTTACTGAAATCTCATTACTTTAATAGCTTTAAAACGAAATAGTGATTGACAATAATTTCTTAGTTGTTCACTATCTAATGAATGGGCTGCTCGATTTTCTTGAATTGTTTCGATTTTTGCACTAGGAAGGTTACAAACTTCTGTGTTTGGATCACGCTCCTTCTGTTTTTTTCTTTCTTCTTCTTCTTCACAAAGAGCTCTTTTATATTGAAGGCAAGGTATTGCACTAACAGGCACTTCATGTTTTCTCACACTGCCAGGTCCAAGGAAATATGGTTTTGCAAGAGTACAAACTCTACTTTGTTTATGTAAATACAAAGGCATTCCACTATTATGTGTTACTTGTACTATTAAATATATTACTTTTTCTCTTTCTTAATAAACATGTAAATATCATGTAAATATCACAATTGCATGATATCAAGATTTCTCTAAATACTTTGAAATAATTTCAATTAAATATTTACCATCCAAAACAAGTTTTTCTTTCTCTTCATATGGTACACTATCCTTCTTGTCTTTTCTTTTGCCTTTAAATTCTTCTGGTAAACCTAACAGTAGCACATAATACTTAACTAAAAAAATACTCTGCAGCTGCATGATCTATATGAGAAGTACAAAAAGAAACAACAAGTAATCTTATTTCTTTTTATATTTTTAATCCTGATATGTAAGTTTTGTAATTTGATGTGCTTTAAACATTAAATATATTCTTATAAATTTCTGCCATGTTAATATAAATTACTTTTTGTGCTTATTATAATCTAATCACCATTTTTTATACTTTACCTTATATAAAATCATAAAAAGATTTATTGCAAGTCGATTGTTTTGTAACATTTACCTTCTTCAAGCATGGCTTCAATTTCTTCATCAGGTACATCGGAATCCATACTTTCATTGGTATCTGAATCCATATCAGAGCAGATCTGATCTGGATGACGTTCTAAATCATCCAGGACATCAAATTGCCTTAAATCATCTGTAGCTACAATACTGTCTGTGTTAGACCCCATAACACATTCTTCAATGGTAGAACCATTATATACATTTGTATCATCAGCAGATGCAGTTTCTTCCTCCATGGTATCACTACAGTGACTTTTATCTGATATTCTACTTTGATTATCAGTATTTATTTCTGACATATACTGCTGATTACCCAAAATTGTCTCACTTTGAGAAGCCATACATGATTCGGGTGTTTCTTCAGGAACTTCTTTATCCATGTCCATTATATATATAACAAGGATCTGCTAAAATACTATAAGATCTGTAATATGATACTGTAATAATCAATAACATGTAAAATTTCAATTGTAATAAATATTTTGTCTTATAATTTTTGTATTTGATCAAATATTTAATGCTTTTATACACAATAGCAAGCAAATAATTTTTAAACATTGTTATAGCAAAGTTATTGTTTAAACTTAAACACAAACTCTGTATATAATAACCCATGGATTAAATAATATCAAGCGCGTCGTATGGCCACACCACTTTCACCAATGAGGCCAAAGTCCAATCAATTTGAAACCACTTTGAAAATGGCAACGAAAATTGGACATTTGCATTAGTGTTAGCAGTTTGGGGCCTATTATATATCCATGAGTACATATTGCATAAATGATATACTATATTGTCAGAATATTGTAGAACGTAGTTGACACAGTTGGTTGCCTCCGAAACTAGACAGGAACAACATTGAGAAATTGAACCTGTTACTAGTCCGAATTATGCACTGATGATAAAAAAAAAATTAGGTTTGTTAAAATAACATGTAAAATGCTCCTCATATTAATATAATATAAATTACATTTGGGTTTGACATTTTTTAGTTATACATGCTGATAAAATTAAGTATCTAAAAAATATAAATAAGATATTTGTAAATATTAGAAAAGTTTTAAATTTAATTACATTGAATAAATCAAAATAAAATGCAATTCTAATACTTTGAATTGTTTTTATTTGAAGCACATAAAATAAACAAATATTTTGATAGAATCTTTAGTATTGCAATTTCTTATGCGTTAAACAAATGTATTTTATTTAAAACAAGCTTGTCTTAAAATAGACAATCATACAAATAATTTTATACTACATAATAAATTATAAACATGATATAAAATGTCTGAATCCATCTTTTATGCAAGAAAGTAGTAATAAAAGCATATAATTTTCATGCTTAATATGTAACGTAAATCGATATCATCATACATCATCACTAATTTCATACAACTCCATTATAATACCTTTATTTATGTATATCACAATATAGTATGTTTTTTGGAAATTATAAACACTAGTTCACCAACAATTAAATTAACAATGTTGGGTTAGGTACGATTTATTTTTAAATACTTTCAGCTTACGGTAATTCTTTTGTTATTTGCAATCTTAAAAAAAGTTATTGTATCAGTCTTATTTAGAACACATAATCATAAGCACTTAGATAATTAGAATAAAGTTATATTCATTTTATTCAAAATTTCAATTGCATTTCGCGTAATAACAGAATAAAATGGAAACTTCCATGATAGTCAGCATAAAGAGAAATCAAACGCTACCTTTCGTTGCATTGAAAAAACTACTCCCGCCCAACACGAATATCATACTTGAATTTGTAACATATTTTAATATTATAATCATCCAAAAACAAGTTGAAAAAGAAAATTTAAGTAAATTGAAATGTAAAATCAATCTAAATAATT